TTTAATTTTTGTTTGTTTTTTAAAATGGTAAAGAGTCTAAGTAGAAGAACTAGGCATGTTGTTGGGATTTTTGGAGCTCAATTTGAACAACCGAAAAATGTACAAGAGGATGAATTGACAAAAATTGTTTAGGGAGTAAGGAAAATAAAAGATAGAAAATTTGACACATCGATTTATAGTGATTCGACTTCTTAACTAAGTCTACTTCCACTACCTTAGCTCATCACCAAGGATTTTCCAACAAATTCACTAATTTGTTCTTTCTTTTTCAATGACAAAGAGATAACCTTTACAAGACTCCTTCGTTTTCCACTTGGCTAAACTAGAATAAATCCCTTTTACAAAAGGTAAAAAAAAGTAAACAATAAAACCTCTTAAAGGTAGGGTGTTTACAAAATAAAGCTCACATGAACAAAATATTTATAAGAGAAAGTAAAATAGGAATGAAAAACTCTTCTATTATGTTTGAATGTTTGGATATGTGTTCTAACCCTTCTTCAAGTGTCTTGAACTTGTATTTATATTTTGGAATGAGTTTGTGGTCGTTTCTAGCCGTTGGGAGTGATTTGGAACCGTTGGGGATGTTTTTATCTGCAAAATAAAATTGTCCAGTACAAAGGGTATCAGTACTCCTATGGGGAGTATCGGTACTACATTTTTTATTTTTAAATAAAACTAGTTGTTACTAGCCATTGGGCCTGATGGTATCGATACTAAGCCTTTGGTATCGATACTAAGCCTTTAGTATCGATACTACTATGTAAAGTAGTATCAGTACCCCTTTGTGTATCAGTACCATTTTTGCATTATGGAATTTGATCAATGTCGGCAGTATCGATACTACCTAGGGGCCGTTTGGTTCACGGCATACAACATTACTAGGGGAATGTAATCCTCATTCCCCCGTTTGGTTGGCCGGTAATCTTATTCCCAATAATCTTTTATTACCAACAGTGGATTTTTTGGGATATATTACTGGGAATGTGATTACCCCTTCCCTTAGGTATTGTTGGATTACCAGTGTTTTGGACTAAAATGCCCTTAATTATTTTCCCAAAACTATCCTTCTTCTGTCGTTGAATAATAAAAATTCTACGAAAGTTAAATTATAAATTTATCCTTAAACTATTTTAGATTTACAAAAAAAATCCATAATTATAATTTTATATGAAGTTCAATGGTTAAAATAAAATTTTACTTTTTCATTAAACCTATTTATCTTTTCAATTTTGTAAAACAAATTATATGAATTTTATGAATTAAATTTTTTTAAAGAAAATATATAAATTAATTATAGTAATATTATAGTAGAATTCAACTTGTTAAAAAAACAAATATATAATAAGGACAATTTGGTAAAATATACATTCCAATAATCTTTTATTCCTTTAACCAAACAAAGTAATCTTATATTCCTACTAAACCAACCAAACACAAAATACAACATTCTCAGTAATCCTATTCCCTGATAATCTTTTATTCTCACTGGTAATCTTACATTCCGTAAACCAAATGCACCCCTAGTGAGTATCGATACTTCTCTTACATTTGATGTCGGTAACATATAAACAATATTGGTCATTGTTCATGAGGTATCAATACTTTAAGAACAAGATCAATACTTCTTGTCTAGAAAAACATTTTGTGCTCAATTCTAAGTTAAATGGACTTTGAATTATTTTTTAAAACTTTAAAAACTTTGAATAAATTTAATTTAAGTCAAAAAATATTTTGTCTTAATTTGTTATATCAAAATATAGTTCAACACAAGTCCCCGAACATAAGTAGGGCCGTAAATGTCGTGCCTAAGGAGCTCTTCATTTTGACGAGGGGGAGACTCGAACAGATTTAACTGCCCCGCAGTTTTGTTCTCCAATTTTGCTAAGGAGTCTGCAACCATGTTGGCTTCTCTTTTGATGAGTTTGAAGTCAATAAACCAAGCTTGTTTAACGAGAGCGGTAATCTCTTGGATTAAAGCATAGTGGTTTTTGGGGGATCCTTCTTTTGGAAGGTGGTAAGCATTCGAGCTATAGACTTGGATTTGGACCATTTCAAACCAGTAAAACCAAGCGATCTTGAGTCCTTCATAGACACCCCAAAGTTCAGCTGAAAGGATCGAGGCTACGCCAATGTGCTTATTGAAACGTGCGAGGAAACTGCCAAGATGGTCTTGAATGACCCCGCCTATCGTTGCTAAGCCACTCGAACTAACCGCACCATCGGTGTTGATGCTAGTCCAATCCTCAGGGGCAGGCCACCATTGTATTTCAGCGTCCCTTATGGTACTGTTAGAATTTGAGGTCAGCTGATGATGCGTGGAGTGCTTTCCAAGGTGCAAGCTCTGGTGGAGGATGGAATTTGCATTACCTCTAATTCCATTGAAAATTAGGTTGTTGCGGCTTTTCCATGTGTGCCAAAGGGCGTAGGCAAATAGAGTATTCCACGAAGTATCCAGCGATGGGTGGCAGCCCGTGATTTCCAGATTCCTGGATATCCAAACGTCCACATGCACATTGAAAAACCAGGGGATATCAAGATCTCTGAGGATATAAATGGTAGTCGTACAGGTTGGGTCGTGAGAGATGCGCCGTTTGCAGTGGTTACCATTCGATAGGATTCTATCACGGATGGAAAGCCAAAGGAAGCAGTGGATCCTTTTAGGGACCGAAAGGTGCCAAATATTTTTCCAAACAGTTTCTTTATGTTGCATATTATGATTAGAAAGGTACAGATAAGCGTCATTTGGGGGAATAATACTATGAATGAATTGAGCTTCCTGGGGATGAAGGATGTTGTAGATTGCATCCTAATTCCAGGAACCATCGTTAAGGGAGAAGTCTTTAACGCAAGTATGGACAGTCAGGGCAAGAACCTACTTTTAGTAGGAAGTTTGTCTAGAACAAACATTCAAGCCATCCCCGAATGTCGAGGGATGTGTCTTGAGTGTCAAACCACCTTATCCCGACCAACTTTATCCTTACACTCGAATAATCTCCCAAATATCAGAAACAGAATTCATACGAGCAACAAGAAGTCCTTGAACCACGAGTTATATCTCTAAGCCTCAACAGACTTCTCCAAGTCCAGCTGCAACATTGTGAAATTAAGATAAACCAAAAACAGTTCTACTTAAGCATATATTCATAGATCCAGGCTACCCAAAGAGACTAAGAGTAAAGAACCCGCAAAATTTCAACCACCCAGGTCTTTGAGCTCGAGGCTACCTTCAAATTTTGGGTACAAATGTGCAGTCAACTCACCCTAGCATCCTTCGGTGTCTTGTCTTTGACTTTCTAAAAAACTTGGAACATAGTTAATTAATTCTTTTAATATTAACTCCAGGCATTTAACTGTTTGTTCCAAAATTGCTAAATACTAAAAATAATAGACTGAATTAACTTTCATCTTCCGGCATATTATAACTGCTTTGCATACCAACCTTTAAGCCGATTAATAATCTACATCGCTCGCTGTGGCTGTCGTGCTTTTAGTAATGGAACATTGAAGAATTTTCAGTGCCTTATAGGCTACAGATATATTTAATTGTTTCTTGTACTGCTCATTCCTTTTTCACTGTTTATTTATACCACAGATATTACGTTGACATCCTCATCTTATACAAGCAAACTATTCAATCCACAATGATTGCCGACACGTATTTTACAACTTTGCTTTCAACTTAGAAGCAAAGAAATTTCAAACTCATTATTCTTCTGATTCTTAAATTAGTGTCTGGTCGCAATAAAATTTAAATATATTGTGGGCAGAAAAAAGAATTAGAAAAATATAGGTATTGGGTAATTAATTTGAGATATAGACCATTTACTATGGTACACCTTGAACTTGTCATATTCACTCGATGAGTTCCATAATATATATTAAAAAAATATTAAAATTCAGCACGTAAGTTGGACGAATGTTGTATGAAACTCATCGAATTCACACGATAAATTGAGTACATCGTAACAAATGACCCCACATATGTATTTTTCAAAATCATTTTTTTCTGCGTAGCTTATTTCACTACATAAGTCATCTGATCAATCACATGAATCCTAAATATAATATCAGGATTCAAGTTGGATCGGATCCCTAAACAAGAATAAGTTTTTCTTAATAATTATTTTTTCAATAAGATTTGAACTCAATATCTTACTCAAGAACATCCAACTCTTTATCCTATTATCCGTTCATAAAGTAGTATTTCTTAGGCATGGCATATATCTATAGGTGCAGGCTAAATAAGTTAAAGCCTAATGGTTGTTAATTCTTATATTCCATGAGGGATGTCATATATATATATATAGGCGCAGGCTAAATAAGTTAAAGCCTAATGGTTGTTAATTCTTATATTCCACGAGGGATGTCGTATATATATATAGGCGCAGGCACTCAACATACATAAAAGTGTAAAGGTTAAAGGTTTTCCACTACCAAAGGTAAGAAAAAGCTGGTTTTCACCTTAAAGGAGTCTCGTTCATGTCTAACAAAGAACAATGCCATAAGAATCTCCACTGAACCAAAAAGCAGCAGCAAGGACTGGCACAGAGATCGAAAGGTTATTTCCCGAAAGAGATTGCAGCAAAATCGATTCGTAGGCAACATTACTGCTCAGGTAGTTCATATACGTCAAAGTTATAACATGGTATCGAGTTCGGAGTCAAGAAGGAAGCAGAGAAGTTGACGACTAGTAAAGGTCTTTATCGTGTAATTGTGAAACCCAGAATCGGTCAAGCTTTTGTTTCGGGAGTCATTGCGGTTCTTGATTACATTCTACCAGGTGCAGGTCAACAGATCAAGGAATTTCTTGCCTAAATCAAAAATCCGATATTATATCAATAAAGAACTTGCTAGAATGCAATCAGATCTGTTGGTTTGACACCATGATGATGATAGCCAACACACTGAATAGCACCCAGTAGCAAATTTTAGGAATTTTCATGTCATTGTGGATACTCCAAACCCAGGGCATTCCCCCCCCCCCCCCCCCTTAAAATTACTGGAATCATCATTAAAAACAATTTTATTAGGCAGATGAGAACCTGAGAAATTAGTTGACTGGTGTCTTCAACAATGTCACAACACGTCCATTTTGCTTATTTATCATTAGCCAAAATCATTAAAAAGCTAAAACAACGCTGCCAATACACTTTTTCGTTTTGGCACATAAGCAAAAGAACGGACAACCTCATTTGTTTTCACCACCAGCCTTAGCATTGTTCCGAGCTTCTTCTCTCAGTGATGCCTTCACATAAATTTCATAGCAACACCCTGAAATAAACAAACATAATACAATCATACAAGAAGTTTAGTCATGGAGTATTTAAACAGTAACAACTATATTTCTTTATGATCTTATGCAGGGTCTGGTACATCACACTCTAGAAACCGAAACAATATCTGATCTATCAAATCTATTAATATCGATTGATTCCACACGCTGTCTTTGTTGATGACTTGGTTCATAATTTCGCAATCCCATTGAAGTAGTGAGGGAGAGCAGTCATTAACCTAATTAATTCTACAATCAAGCCATTGATAAGGAAAGGATGCAATGCCAAATAGGTTGTATAAATTTAAAATTAAGTTTTTTAAATGATCTTGCATAATTTTTGTTTCATTTCAAGCTTTTTTCCCTTCTTCAAAGACGGGGAAAGTGAACTAAAAATGCAAAAGAAAGAACATTTCCAGTTACAATCAAGTCTGATGTCCAAATTACTAAAAATCAAGTCAAAACAAAATAAGCATTCAGCACATAGTTAGAGCATGTCTAAAAGCATATAAATAGGATCCTAGAGAATCAAATCCAACTTCTGGAATTATATTCATAAGCCAATTCATTCAACTTATAGCAAAAGTAGCCTCACCTGCTACAACCACAATCGTCAGTACATCCCCGATTCTCTTCAGCCGCCACACACTCTTCTTATAAGATTTAAATCGTCTTAACAAAGGGTCCTCTGCCAAGAGCTACACGGGGTATTCCATATCAACACAATATCAAGTATGGCACAAGAGCATCAATTTTAAGAATATATGTACATATATATACATATTTGAAACATTAATCTAATCATTTCTAAGCCTCTCCCTTCTAAGCCATAAAAAAGGAAACTGAATGAAGGATCAGAATCATTAGATTATGAATAATCAAAAACCAATTTCCCTATCCAATGTCATGACTCAGTAGCTAAACATAAAAACTTATAAAAAAAAAAGAAGAAACCCACCATAAAAAAGAATTAAAAGAAACTAACATTGAGAATCTTTTCAAATGAGAATCCTCCTACCGTATGCTCCATCAATTAATATGGCTAAACTCAAAGAGATGAAGTCACACTATTAAACCCAAAAGCGTACCTCGTAGCACCTCGAGCTGAACCGGATTCTAGATATGGAAACTATTAAAGCAAATCAAAAGAGCAAAGACGCAAAAAGGAAAACGGGAAACCATAGGCTTTTATCAAGAAAGTTGAACGGAGAAAGAAATACAGAAAAGGGGGAACTCACAGCTTTCTCACGATCCCCAAGCTCAACGTGAAAAGCTCGACTTGGCAAAGCCATGGAACCCTCTGTCTTCTGCTTTTGTTGAGAATTTCATAGAGGTGTTAACAAATTAAGCTAAGATCCACCAAAACTCTATGCACGCATAAAAAAATATATTTTTATACCTGATAAGGAGATCGGAAGTGTGTCGCAAGGCTACTTTGTCGAATGAAAAAGGCCATCTCTTTGATAATTCAGAGATTTTCAGATTCAAGAACAAAAACAGAGATAATAATTAGTTGCCGGGAATTGTGGATTGTCAACCAAAGCAAAACTCCAAGCAGGGCTTTCTTTAAATTTATCATAATATATTTACTTCATATTTGCAGAATTGAATTGATTTTTATAGAATTTATCATAAAATATTATAATAAAATGACTTTAAAAATAATGAAATGTGATATTTAGAACTTTAGAGCGAAGTATTCTCTGTTTAATTAGCTTTTTTATAAATAAAAAAAATGATTCATTTTTAATATCTCTATTCTATCTTATTATAATTCATATTAACTAGTCTGCGCTTGTTGTATTTAAAAACTAGGTTGCAATTGACGAGGTGACAGCGACAACCGATGGGTTTCAACAACAGATTGGCCAAAAGGGATTTTAAAAGAAAAATAAGAAAATAGAAGAGAACAGGACTATGAAAATTTGAGCCCTAACCTGGATTTGCAAGAAGGCGGCGTGACGGAAATGCTTCAGTCCTCGCACAAAAACCGACGGTGAGGCTCGGTGTTGATGCCACAAGCACGCCACTGGAAACGAGGACGCTAAGGCGAGTTCTTTGAATTCAAAAACTCTTCAATCGATGTAGAGGAGACGGCGGTTCAATGTCGCCGGTAATCGCCCAAAAAGAGAGAAGGGAAAGGTAAATCGACGCAGAAATGGCAAAAAATGCACCAACGTATCAAAACATTATTTATATCTATAATAATGAATCAATTATAAGGTCACACCTTGGACTTCCTAGAGTTCATGTTCTATCCTTACAAATATGTTCTGTGTTCATTTTAGTGTCTACTCTTCCCAAACTGGTTTCATAACTTTGAATCTATTCGATTTGGTCATTACATATTGGCAAATCTTAGAAGAAAAAGACTAAGAGATGAAAGAAACTAAATGACAACAACTAATGATATTATATTTAAAAAATATTTTAAGTTAAATAAAAAGTTTATATTTGATTTAAAATAAAATTATGAAATTAGAATATTAATTATAATTTTTAAATGGATAAATGTAATTTAAGAAAAAAAATAAAAACAAAATAAAATGTTGATATATTTTTATTTTATATGCATGATATTATTTTATAATAAGTATTAGAAAATTTGAAACCATATATATATATATATATATATATATATATTATATACTCTTGTAATTACATACAAAATGAAGGATCATTTTGAAACAAATATATTATTTCAGAGATATTATTATCCTAAGATGTGGGAATTATCTAATACCTAAGAAAAGAGATGAAATGACATTCTCAGGAAAAGATCCTAAATTTGTTGCAGTAGGGAATACTTCATTACCTCGAGATGGAATGTACTTAAATTAAACGTAAGTATGTGATTCCGAAAAAAAATAATTCCATAATAATGATATTTTTCCATAAACCAAACTTGCTTAGAGATTTTTGACAAACTCCAAACAAGACGAGTTGCAACGAACATTTTGTCTATAAAATAGAAAATTTCTCATAACACCAAATTTCATCACTGCACCTGTTAATGAAAAACTCATTGAAATAGCTTCCCTAAAGTTCTTTTAATGCAAATTTTCCTTGCTTTCCATCCCCTTCCACAAGTCTCACAAAAATTGATTAATACAAAAAGTCGTTGCAAAATTCACCCATGCATTATTGCTACTAATGTAATAGTCAAATGTACTGGCATTTAAGTTTATACAATTGTAAATTATAGATTTATCTTATAATATATTAATGTAAACTTTTTTTTAGTAATCATAAATGGTAATATATGTTCTGATACCTCTCAAATACCTCTGTCTTTTGGCACGCATTCGATCGTTTGACTGTTATTTCTTTTATCCTTTTTCTCAGAGATAGATTAATTGACGTTGACACAACTGATCAAGATGACATATATTTGTTATCATGTTGATCTCTCGTGTTTTAGACTCTCGAGTTGGATTTGGATACAGATTTTGTATTCATGGATAGTATTTTCACATCCTCGATTCTAATATGTAGTTTGTAGGTAGTTTTTTAATAGCTTGATATCATTTTGTGGTTCTTTTGTCGATGTACTTAGATTTGTTGCCTCTGCTTATAATTCTTTAGCTACATCGATAGGATGGTAATTTAACCTAAGTTCGAGTTTCGACCCGATCCAATAGGGTCCATTTTTTTTAAAAAAAAATTAGGTTCGGGTCGAGTCATATTTTTTCAGGCGAGAGGTGGGGTCGAGTCGGGTTTTTTAGGGGTGAGGTCGGGTCGGTCAAGTTTGGATGGAGGGTGAAAAACTCCGATTTAAGGATAATAATGTAATTTTCTTAAAATTTATTATTATTTTTAATTAGCTCCTTAATTTATACCAGGGCGGGTCAGATATATATTCTAAAAAATCGGGTCGGGTCGAAATTGGGTGGAAGTATATACTTTTCGAGTCAAATCGGATGTATGATATAAAATTTTTAGGTCGAGTCGAATTTGAATGGAATATACATATTTTCGGATCGGATCGACCAAAAACATAACCCTAACCATACTCGTTGCCAACCCTTTACGCCACTTTGGAGATCGAAGAATTCTTTGTGGCCTTCGTGTCCCACAAAGAATCCTATTTGGTAGCCCTTTGAAATAAGCTAATGACAAACGTTGCCTTTCTAGTGATCCCTCATGTCTGGATTGTAATGCACAAGAGGAAACCATGCTCCATGCCCTTCGTGACTGCACTTCGGCCAAAGAAATATGGGTACACATTCTACCCTCGCCTCTCCTCATGGACTTCTTTAATCATGATCTCGCCCGATGGCTTCATCTTAATGCAAGCTGCCATATGATCCACCCAAATTTGAACATCCCCTGTCATCTTTATTTTTTTTTATCAATGGTTAGGTAAACTTGGAAAAGTAGCAAAGATCTAGTCTTCAACGGCCATTACCCCCTCTCGAGGTACCGTTTGGAGTCAACATTTTTCTGGTGATGTTGCTCCAGCTCCCTCCCCACTCGTCGAACTCAATCTCACAGACAATTGGATTTTTCTTAATGTTTACGTTGTTGTTCCTAGTCCTATTAGAGCAGGTTCCATTGGAGGTGCCTATCGTGATGACGAGGGTAATTGACTGCATGGATCTCATAAATCCATTGGTGTCACATATGTCTTTTTGGCAGATTAAATCGGATTCAACTGCCGTAAAGCTCCTCACAGACACTTCATCTCATCAATGCCCATTTCCTATTGTTTGAGCCATTCATCAACTGACAAAGATGTTGGTTGACAAACGTTATATGGATCCCAATCTTCAACTAGGACAAAAATGGCCACTCCACACTCCTTCCATATCTTTATCCTCGACATACCATTATCCAATCTTCAATCAATTTTATCTAGGGACTGACGTAAAATTTTATATTAAAGTGACAAACTTCAACTTAGAAAATTTCAGGAGTGACAAATAAAATTTTAAGGAACGAAAACAGATTTTAAATAAAAAATACATAAAAAAAAATTCTAAAATATACTATAATTTTTTATTTTTAAAAAGTGCGACCGCTCATACATGCCCCTGCACCGCGTAGGTTCATCTCTGCTTTTATCTACGCACGGATTAGGTTCCCGTACTGCAGATCAACTATTACTTAGTTTTTGGCATTTGCCTCTCTTTTAATTAAACAAATTATATTTTTAATAAAATTAGTTAATTTTATAAAAAAAATCACCTTAATTTTATAAAATATTCCTATTTATTCACGCTAATCTTACCGTTGGAGCAAATGAAATGATAGTGGTGCACATTAACGAATGAAGTTACCCAAAAAAATAATATTATATTAAAATATAAATGGTAGGAACTTTAGTATAATAAAAATATTTTTTAATATTCGGATCAATTGATTCAAGTGATTAAAAGATTAGTTATTATGTCTTGAGATCTCTTATTCGAGCAACGAGCACCATGTAGAAATATGAGTGTTTATTGTGAAATAAATAAAAACATTTGAGTTGTAACTGTCTTGTATTTACCTCAAAGTTATAAAAAAATATATTTAATTAGATAATGTTATAATTATTATTTAATATAATTTCTTGAGTTATATTTATTCGTTTCACAACTAAGGAATACAATTAAATTGTTTTTCTAGAATCATAAGATTTATTTGATTCAAATTTTATTTTTTATATGTGTTTTATTACATTTATTTTTTAGGATTAGTATTTATAAAGAAAAATTTAATTTTTTATGTTTTTCATTAATTTTTCAAATAATTTGATATGATATTTCATTGTAAAACCCATACATGTAGCATGAATAAAATAAAAGTGTGTATCAATTAACATATACTTATATCGGTGTAAATATGTGAATATCTCAATATCTTGGTATAAAAAAAATAAACACATATTATATTGTTGTAAATATATTTCTATATTTCTAAAGAAATAAAAAATTAAAAATAATATATATATATATATAAAGTTATTTTGTGTACAAATTTTATTAAAAAAATATAAATTAGAAATAATATTTTCTACAAATTTTCATGTAAATATTTTAAATTTAATATTGAGAAATGAACTTGTTAAAAATATATATCTATATTTTTCAAGGAAAATTTGATAAAACATATATTTTTTTATCTTATATTCGAACACCGGAATCGAGGGGTAGATTTAGTGATGGGACTACCTAGGAGATGGCCCACCCCCATGCTCCAATATATATATAATTTAAATAATATATAAATTATGTTAAACTATTATATTGGTCTAATATATATATTTAGATTTACTTAAAATGTATAGAGTTATTATCCTTTTAAATTAACAATTATATATAAATTTATGTTTGATAAATTTATAGGTATAATATCAAAATCAGTTCTCGACATTAATTAAATTGATCATTTTAGCACCTATTTTATTTATTTATTTAGTATTTTGACTCCCTATGTTTCATTTTATGACAAAAAAGTTTTTAACGTTTGAATGAATAATTACTTTGATTTTTTTTCCCTAAAGCATTGAAGCTCTCAATGTTTCGTTTTAAGATAAAAAGAACACTTATTTTATAACGTTAATTGTTTGTTAACTA